ATAAGGTCAGTCTCAGTGCAAGTTTTGTCAGAGTTTTATTTGTATTTAATAAGCTACCACATAAGCATTTTTTTATGACGTGGCAACGTTTTTAACAAGAGAGAAGAAGCGAATGAAACTCTTTTGACATGAGTCATGAAATTAAATGTCTATAAAATCATATAATGAAACTTTTCATTGACATTCTATATGATATGGCACTCTTGCATTGGAAACAACAACATGAAACTTCTTATTGAGACTAGCCTATGCCAAAAGCTTAAAAAGGCGAGCAATAATTCATTTAGGTATATATAATTCATTCAACCGGACAAGTTCTAACATAAAATTTGGTGTGTACACCAAATAACCACAGGAAAAAAAAAACAATCTAGTTTTAATTTCTGATCCAATGATAACTCTAATATATTTTTCTGGATGATTTTTGCTTTGTTTTCCATCCAGGTGAGATCATTCATGATCAATAATGCTATATATACAAGAATGTATTTACCTCTTGGCGAGATAGAAATGTTGAGATCCGTCCATTAGTCTGCCTCTGGTGTTAATTAGAGTTGAACAATCCCTATAGTTAACAGGGCCGCTTTGATACAGATCGATCTAGTTTCTTAAAAAAAGAAAGGCTTTATTGTTTCAGTTTCTCAAGAAACTTTCTTTCAGTAGGGTTTTTGTTTCTTAGAAAACCATTTGACAAATGATGGTTCATGTTTAATTTCTCCTTGAGGTCCTTTTATTAATTTTTAAAAATCTTGTATATTTAATATTTTTACGCATAAAGAATCTCAAATTTAAAAAGTTCTAACAATAAAGTTTTATATCTTGTTGAGTACTACATGTCTTCATCTGAAATCGTTTAAAAATTTGAATTCAGATTTTAAAACTTAAAACATATAGTTGGGCCCATAAAGATTTTAAATAAAAAACTATTAGCTAAAAAGTTTTAGATTTTGTCGAGCTCTACAATTTTTATATAAAATTTATGTTCACCCAAACTTCATTTGAAAATATTATGAATTTATTTTTAGAACCACAACGAAAACTGTCCCGTGTACCGGTGAGTGGACTGTATCATGGAAATCTCAACAACCCAATGGGACTCTACTGAGTGGAAAAGAGTACTCCAAAATCTAACCTAAAATAAATCCAAGCTACCACCTGCAAAATTAGAAATTCAAGGCCACTCCCCTAGCTAGCCTGTCGCTGTCATTGATGATGCATAAACTAATACCGTAGAAATTGGAAAATAAATGTAAAAAAAATCCTATCCAAAATAGGGTTGACTCTGTATTTGAGTCATACCACATGGTTTCACATCATCCACTCGACCACTCCTGAAAACGAACTCATCTGAGATGACACATGAGAACTGTGTTCACATCTTAGTTGGTTACGTTGTAAAGTTACCTCGTTCCATATCTATCTCCCAATGAGATGGCTGTGTCAACCATAAGAAATGGTCGCTTATTGAGCTCGATCTGTCAGGTCGACGGAATCCGAAGCATGTGGTCGTTCATCAGCGACGCAGACGCAGATCGATATACAATATAACTTGCTCCTCCTTAATTTGTAGGAACTAGTATATATTATGGGATAGTTAACTGAGCTAAGTAATGGGTTTGACTTTGCACAAAAAGCCAAATTAACAAGTGATGGAGCCCATGACAATGTATGTGCGAACGCATGTGTCCCTAACATGCGTCAAACAAGCTATAGTGAGCTCATGACAATGTGGATGCAAGCCACTTATATTAGCCACCCCGCATGCCATGCATGTCCTCATCTGTGTTACCTGGTGAGGTGCCATCAGTAACACCTGCGTGAAATGATTCCTTATGCACACTAACCGGTTGCAAATTGCAAGCCTTAATAATAGTCAACAATCAACTTGACCACTTGGGTATTAGACTGGGATATAAATTCACAGACATATCCTGAAAGAATAAAACAATGGCCAACTTGACTTTAACCTGCCTAGTACTCGGACAAGTTGGTGTGCTAGGCTAGCTGTCAGCAACTCAAGACTGAGATTGGCCATGCATTCCTCTAGTTCAATTATGCTCGCATATATATATCAACTATTAATAATGTTTCTTGTGTGACGTAACACACATATATATCCATGTTGTTGTTCGTTTTATTATAATGTTCTTTTAACACATCTTGCATTATCTCTTTATTACTACCCCACTTATCTATATTTTAGGTGCTTGATTCTTTTTATTGTTCAAGGAATATGTAATTTTATTATTGGTTGACTATAGAAAAAATTATGAATTGTCTCTTATAAGTTGTCCTTTTAATTGTACTATTTGGTGGTCCAAGATTGTTGACTGAAAATCTAGGCACTTAAAATATAGCAACTTCCTTGCTCCTCTGTTCCAGATTGCCTGCCAAATCTTTGGCTTGAAACAAACAGTAAGCAATGTATTTGTGGTGCACTTGCATTCTTGGAGGCAAGCGGACTGGAAATTTACAACAAAACAGATTCTTGGAAACGTAGCACAACAATCCGTTGTAGTCTAGCTGGTTAGGATACTCGGCTCTCACCCGAGAGACCCGGGTTCGAGTCCCGGCAACGGAAATTTTTACTGCTTTTCTGATATCATTTTTTTTTCAACTAAAAAAGTGTCTAACTTACGAAACAATCCAAGTCATGACAGGCAATGCCATATTGTTTTCCTTTTTTTAATCAGCAGAAAAGCTATTCCGTGTTATGATTCTTTTTTATCGGCAGAAACGCGATTCCATATTAGGTTTCTTTTCCGAACTTGAAATAGCTGTAACTTGTTCAAGCTACGAATTAATCTGCAATCGCCACATGCAATGTTTTTTGTTAGCAGAAAAGCTATTCTATATTGTGTTTCTTTATCGAACTTGAAATAGAAATTTACACTGCGAAACACAGCCGTGGCGTCTCATACAAACCTTCATCTTGGACGCATCCAATCCAAAGAGCATTTGACACAGCACATTATTCAGAGCTCCTCTGCAGCCAAGGCTTCCTCCAAGCAGCACAGATTTTTGTTTCTACACTGCCTACTGGGATCTATAGCGGATAATCATCCACGGACGAACTTTGATGTCCTACCGGCTCTCGACATGATAACAAGACGTTCCCCCATTTTTCCTTGGAAGAGTGAAAATACATTAACTATTAAGAAAGAATTACATCATTCGGAGCAATAGCTTTTTGGGGGGCAGGTAAGTAGGGTGGTGGGGAGGTGTTCCAAAATTTGTGGCAATTGTATATTTGATATGGGTATTGAAAAGGGCAACATATCAAAGGCAATAATAGTTACAGTTTAATGTTAAACCACAGAACAAAATGGTGATGTGATTAATCGAATAACACATTTCCTCTTCCATTAGTATGCCGTAAGTTTCTAGAACAATAACACTTTATTATTAGAACAAATCAGAACTTAAACTACTTAGACAATAGTAAATTAAAAGAACATCTCTAATTCCTTTCAAAAAAATCATAAATGATTTAATACTCAAACCAGAAGTGATAGAATAATTGAACACCTCCTCCCCAGCCAGAAAAAGAGGAGTTCCAAAAAGAATGTAAACCTCGCTTTTCGTGTAGTCAATCAATCTCAAGTTTAACCAAATATATATACAAAAATGTACTAATATTTATTATTATGCATATTAATAATCATTAGATTAATTGTGTAATATATCTTCATAATAAACCTATTTAGAGACATAAATGTTGATACTATTTCTATAAAACTAGTCAACTTGAGTTTGATTGACTCCTCAAAAAGTGAGATTTACATTCTTTTAGGAATGGAGGGAGTAATAACTGGACTGCCAAAGAAACTACGGTTTTCAGAGTTGAAACCCAATGGTAGACAATGGCGGCAGAAACATGCCACCTGATCAAACAAAAGACAAGCACAAACAAATCGTAGAAACAATCAAACAAAACAACGTAACAAACAATAACTGCAATCTTGCATATTTGTTTATCAGCAACATTTATCTCGACTCCAGGATATTTTCTGGTCAGCAAGTTACCAATCTCAATTTCTATCATCACATAGTGATGCAAACTTCAACACCAGTCATCTCATCTTGTGCTTGGGAAAGAAGAAAAATTCACCAATTGCACAGACTAAAATGACACCAGGTGGAGCACATCATTATACGATTTGGCTAACTTTCATCATTCCAGTTTGAAAATAAACTTAAAAAAAAAAAAAGAAAATTGAACAGGGTAACATAAAAAAATATGACACATTCTTCTTTCACAAGAAAAAAAGGGCATCATTCTTGATGGCAAAAGATAAATAAGGGCACTCAATAACATTACAAGGATAATATTTGAACAGAAAAAAGGAACTAATTTTCTACAGTAACTCTATGCCTGAGATAAAAGAATTCGAAATATCAGGACAAACCAATTCTTCTTATCTTAATAACAAGTTAAATTAAATGCAGGAGCATTGAGGGCTCACAATTATTGGAAGATAGTATATCTTCAGATTGAGGCCTAGCTAACTACACAGTTTTTTTTCTCCAACACATAGGTGTATCATTATATTAAGAGAAGCTAACTACACAGTTACCTGTCTTGAAGTTTCATTTAAATTTTTGAATCAGCATGCTGAACCAGGGATTTTTTGACATATCTGGAGAACAATCCTCCAGTTGGCAAATATGAAGGTACCAAGTAGCATTGGAGCAAAGCACTGAGAGATTGATATTATTTAACTAGTTGCCCAGCTGATATTAAGAGATCCATACCTTCTGTCCATTACCACCATTGGAAGAAGTGCCTGACAGTGTCCTCACCAAATCCTTGAGCACTATCTCAATACTGAATCACAACAATGTCAAAACTTCTTATTCTCAACCAGTCAAACAGTACAAACTATACAAGCCAGATCAATTTGGCTGACGGTGTAGTAGGTCCTGTGCTACCCCAAGCATCATATCATACAAATTCATAATGCCAATAGTGTCAAAATAGCATCCAGTGAAGCTGAATTTTACAAGGATCTAGAAGCATGCTGGGACTTGGCAATCTCTCTCAAAACTGCACCTACAACAGCAGCCTGTTCAAGACATTCAGCTTTGTTCAAAGCATCTAGAAGACTGATGCATGCCTTTACATTAATTCTACATCCTTGTAATCGAGTTTCTTCAAATACATGATATGCCTCAATTGCTCTATTTGCATGGCTCATTCCCTCTATAAGAGCATTGAAACTTGCAGCATCAGGGATTCCACCATTGGCCTTAAACCTCTCAAAGAGACTGCAAGCATCTGTTATGTTCCCTACCTTTGCAAGCCCAGAAATCATGGTTGTGTAAGTCACAACATTAGGGATTAATCCCTGTTTCTGCATTTCTTGCCAGAACACAAAAGCCTTATTGTACTTCTGTACGCGGCAAAGGCCATTTATAAGAATACTGTATGTGTAAGTGTTTGGGGAACATTTCATTTCCTTCATTGACTGGAAACAAATAAGTGCTTCATTGATTTCTTCAGCTTTCACTAAAGCATCCATAAGGCTGTTCCATGTGTAAACATTTGGTGTCAAACCCTTCTTCATCATCTCTTCTAATATTAAATAAGCTTCATCTATCCTACCAACCTTTCCAAACCCATCAATGAGAGAGCTATACACAATAACATTCAATTCTATTCCTTTTGATTTTGCTTCCTCAAAAAGCATGTAAGATTCATCTAACCTATCAATCTTAGCTAAACCATCAATAATTGATCCATATGTAGCAACTGTAGGAGCTACACGTTTTACCTTCATCTCCTCAAGAACTTCATAGGCCTTGTCCACCTTTCCAGATTTGCAGAACCCATCAACAACAGCATTATAAGCCCGAGCATCAAGAGCAAAACCTTGCTGCTTCATGGCATGGAAAATGCTGGAAGTTTCCCTAGCCAGGCCAGCTTTTGTGAGACCATGAATCAAAATGGAATAACTTCGTACATCCGGAAGGAAGCCATAACCCTTGATATCCTCAAATATCGCCCTTCCCTTTTCAACATCACCAGCTTTGAAAACACAATCCATGTATGTATTCAGTAGGGTAAGGTCAGGCTGGCATCCTCGACGATTCATCTCTTTGAAGATTTTGTGCCCATCTTCTTTCCTCCCATGCATGAAGAAATTCCTTATCAAGGATGTATAAACAACAGGATTAGCATTGTGGCCTGTATCTAGCATGTTCTCAAATAACCTATAAGCGTCGTCAACATTTCCTTTCTTTCCTAATCCGTCAATAAGAGAACAATAAGTCACAGAATCAGGATGGCAACCTCTCTGACTTGCAGTTTCAAACATCTCATAGGCCTCCTCAAACTTCTTTGCTTTGCAGAACCTATCAACCATTATATTCACTGTCAACAAGTTAGGGAACAAACCAGCGCGTTCCATCTCATCCCGTATCATATAGGCCGCCTCAACTTTTCCAGCCATGCAAAGCATATCAATGATGATGTTATATGTCGAGGAATTTGGCTCTGCATCCTTTTCATGGCCTCAAACAAGGTCAGTGCCTCATCAACTTTCCTCTTCTTCCCAAGGCAAGTGAGAATCGAATTAAATGACACAACGGATGGAATACAACCCCTCTCCTTTAACTGATCAAGAAGCTTATAGGCATTCTCAAACTGGCCTGCAGACCCATAACCCATGATCATTGTATTATACGCATACGCACAAGGCACAGCTCTTTCTGTCTCCATCTGACCAAACAGTTCCTCAGCCTCACTTAGCCTCCCTGCCTTGCACAACACCCAAATCATGCTCGTGTACGATACATCATCTGGCTTCAGCCCTTGCGACTTCAACTCATGGAAGAACTTCCAGGCCATGTCCACACTCCCAGCCTTCCCGAAACAATCAATGCACACATTGTACAGCACAATGTCAGGCTCGAGGCAGCTCCCCTTCACCTCGTCCACCAGTGCCAGGGCCCCCTCGACGCGCCCCTCACGAGCCAAAGCCCGCACCAGCGTCGTGAACAGCGGCACGCCCACCTCGTACCCGACCTCCTGCATCTGCCGCAGCAGCTCGAGCGCTCGTTCAGGCCGCCTGGCCTCCGCCATTGCGCCGATCAGCACGGTGTACGCCGAGAACGCTGGGCGGAACTTGAGCCGCCTCATGGCCCCAATCACGCGCTCGGCGTCGTCGAGGCGGCGGGTGCGGACGAGCGCCGCGACAAGGTCGGCGCAGGCGGGGTTGGGAACGCCGTACCCAAGGACGCTCATCTCCTCTAGGACTTTCTCCATGGCTGCGAGGTCGTGGGAGAGGAACGGGAGGACGGCGTTGTAGGCGTCGGCGGGGAGCGGGTGCGGGGAGGCGGCGGAGGAGGCGAGGAAGAAGGGAGCGGCGAGGGAGGGGTTCTTGAGGGACCGGAGAACGGGTATGACGGCATCGGCAGCGGAGGCGGAGGCAGCGGAGAGGGAGGAGGAGACGGCGCCGGCAAGGTCCGGCGTCCAGGATGGTGCGGCGGAGAGGAGGCGGAGGAGCTCGGTGGCGAGAGTGTTGGGGTGGTGCGGTGGTGGTGGTGGGGGTGGTGTGGTGGAGGAGAGGTAACGCCAGATGCGGAGGAGTGGGGGGGCGACGAGGAGCGGCCGGCGAACCGCCGGTGTCCGCACCGCCGCCGCCGCCGCCATGGAGAGGGGTTCGTAAACCCTAGCTGGGATACAAGGCGGGCTTGGCCATTTGGGCCTTGGGGCTGGGGAGGAAATGGCCGGTTTGTTCAGAAGATGGACTTTTGTTTCTTTCTTTCCCGTTGAGCCGTTGATCAGATAGGACTTATATATTGTTATTTTACATTTAATTTTTTACGAAAGATTTCATTTTAAGAAAACAAACGTTACGATGCACTCCCTCCGTTCAAAATTACAAGTCTTTTTAACTTTTTTTATACATAAATTTTACTATATATTTAGACATATGTTATATCTAGATACACTAGAAAACAAGGTGTAGCTTTGATGCGCCCTCCTTTTAGTGTCGTGCCACTATAACCCACAATTATTGTCAATGTGGTTAGAAAAAGGGAAAATAAATAAGGATTGGGTAAACCATGCTTGAATTTATGTATGGCTAGATTGTGTACAAGCTTGTGTACACTGTCAGCTATCAAGCTTGTGTACAAGCTTGGGTACGCTGTCAGCTATCACATGTGAGCGCTCCACGTAAACTTTCTTTCAAGAAATATAGTGAACTCATTTTTCACTTCTCAAAAGCTGGTTTCTAGAGCATACAATTTGACGCCATTCAAGACGTAACAAAGGCAATGTACATTTACCACGTGATCCAAATCAAGGCTTAATTGATGTTAATTTGTCAAGACACCACCACCTGCAAGGCCTCCAAATTCTAAGTGACAGCTTCAATCTAAAACATCAGGATGTTCTACGAGTTACATTATAGTGGGCACACCCATCATTCGCAGAGCAACAAGTATATTTTAACGAAAAATAATTACAAGTAGTGCATTTCTCTAACTGTAAAATATAAACATTTGCCTAGTGGCATCGAAAAGGCATACATTATTCCGTCAGATTACAGGTTGGGTTGTTATCTTGTACATCTTAATCAAGTAGCCTTTAGAAGCTAAGCTTACCCAAGTTTCTTGAGAATTCCAATCATTATTCTTTCTTGTTCCATACTGGAATGGCAGCAGCAGTGCTTGTAATATATATTTTTTGCAGCGAAAACACTCTTGAAGAAGAGGATGAAGGCAGAATGCTACCTTCATAAATCTCCATATACTATACCGTGATAGCTGGATCGAATACAAGAAAAAATAGGCCATAATAAGGCAAGCACAATGGCATACAGTAGGAATCTCTAATTTCAGACTGAGCCAAACCAATGTTCCACCTGTCTGCTTCTACCATTCTGCACACTTCAAAAACGCCACGGTTACTGTCTTTGACATCATCATCAAAGTCGTCAGAAACTCTTTTACCTGTGTTGTTATTTTAGTCCAATAGCTTGAATTGCAGATTGAGTTATTAGCAATCATTTGTGTTATGTAAGTAATGTAACATAATACTTTATAAATTAAAAAATAGATAAATAACGACAACGTGCTTATGATCAAACTGGGAACAGGCACATCCTTGTCTTGTACAAGCATAAGTTGTACCGTTGGAATTCTGATATTGCATTGCAGGCTCTACAAGTAGGGTAGTTCCATGCTAAGAATTTAAGACCACAGAATTGTGCCTGGTTATAAAAATGGTAGATTTGGGCTTTGGATCATGGTATTATTTTCAAAGTTCAAAATTTTCATATAAAAAATTGCTAAATTGCAGAAATGGAAGTTCAGGATTTTAATCATGCCATGCCAATTTTCATAAATAGAATTTCAAAGCTTTGAGTTCATGACATGGTCAAATATTAGATCTGGAGATTCGAAATTATAAAACCTTTTTCGACAACACAACAAAATTGGACTTTTTTTACTTAGATCTGATACATATTAAGTGGCTGAAAAATAGATGCAGAGAACAAAAGATTAGTATAACAGAATTGGGAATAGGTAATTAATGTGCTTGCAAAAATAACATGAGACAATCCCCTAACCTTCTTCAGTTCCTTCACTCTTTCTTCCTCCCTATCTCGTTTGCTGTCACTGCACCTTATCCCACTTTCCGTGTAGCCAATCCTGAATTTTCCCTTTCTTCATGCAAGGCAAAAAGAAAGAGGAAATAAGAAATTAAGAAGAAATAAAGAAGAGTGCCAATTAGTATTGCTCGTATTGTAACCTACAAGGTTACAACTATGACTAACTTTCACCATATGGCGGCAATGCGCGGCATGTGAGAGATGTTCCTTGCCGGCATGTTGACCAGCTCAGTCCTTGAAATCAGTCTCCTTCAGACGGCAACCCAAACTAGGTTGAGATTGCCGCATCTCCTAAGTCCTAAAGGCGTGTGTCTTTGTAAGGATCCGCCGCCAAAGTGAACACCTGAAAAGACATGGCCGATAGGGAAACAAAATCAGTATGAGAGGCCTTTCATCATGGAGAACTTGAAAAATTATTATATGGAATGAATCAGAGGCAAAAGTTTTGCATCAGAAAAAGAATACTTACATATATACATATACAAAATAGTGTCTGCTGAACAGAGCCAAATCTCGTGGGCATTTCATCGAGGCATTTGCATAGGTACTAGTGAGGGAGCACAAAGGTGCAGGGAAGGCTGAAGCATGCCGCCATCACTGGTTGGCTTCTTCCTCATGGTGGCGATGCTCACCTTCTCCATAATAATGGCCACTTGCACGACTCCATTTGAGGATGAGCAGAGGAGGCGAGGCGAGATCAAGCACCACCACGCGCCAGGTAGTGTGACGAAGAGAGGAGGGAGGCGGAGGGCTCCCACGCCTGTGCCGTGCTTCGTCGATGGGGAATAGCCATGCGTCTTTGCATCATTTGTCGGGTGGTTCTTGATCGCGTCGCCTCGCCGGTCTGTGATGGGCTCTCTATCTCCATCGCCGCCGCCACATCGCACGTCACTGTTGTCGTCGTGTAATCGCTGGAGGGCGGAGAGAGGAGGGGGGGCGTTCGGGAAGCGGTCGGTGGCGGAGGCGCGGAGCAGAGGGAGGCGTGGGGAGAGGCGCGGCTGCTAGCGGCGCGAGGAGGAGCCGCGGAGGCGATGAGTTTTTGGGTTCGCGAGACTTCATGAGGTTTCGGATCCATATATGAAGCGGGCAGGACCCGAACCGATCTGCATCGAACGGTCCTCGTCGCGAGCTGCCTTGATCCGACGGTTGCGGGTTAACGGGCGACGTGGCCCTATCGGGCGCCCACGGTTTGGTAGCAGGATTCCTATCAAGAGATTTGATGTACCAAAACAAGTTAACTTAAAATTTGAGACCACCTTGTACTTTTGGTTGGCGTAAAATCAAGGGTTATTTTGAACCATATCATTGCAATTTTTTAAGTTCTGATATATGTCATTCCTATTCATATATTTGGATACTTGCCATTGTAATTCTTCTTCCACTTGAATCATGCCATTTTCTACGTATTCAATGGTACTAGGGCCCACCTGTAGGTGACCAAAAGCTATTATATTCTTCTATGGACCAAAATACCCCTACTGTTTCTCTCCCTCCACTCGCTGACATGTGGGCCCCATAAGTCAGCTTCTTCAACGATATCTGAGAGCTGGGCAGTGGAGGCATGGTGTGAAGTGAGTACGGGCTACCATCGCCGGCCATTGCTGCTATGAGAGAGGCGGAGCGGTGAGGAGGTAGGACGGGGCGGGCGGCGAGCAGCGGCCGAGTTGGTTCACGACTCACGGCAAGTCAACTCGGTCAACTTCGACGCCATTGACTCCTACTGGTTCTTCTTCTTCGACAACGACGGCGACAAAGGGGCTCGCGTGGATGACCTGGACGACATCCTCGCAGGTCGGGGGGATGCACCAGTGGGTCGGCGTGTCGAGGCTCGCGGCCAGCGGCGAAGGGGAGTCCGCACGCGTGCGGCGGTCCAGTGAGGATCTAGGGGCGGGGCGTGCCGGGGTGCGTGTCCTGCGGCAAGGGGGAGTCCGCAAGGCGGGCCGGGGGGGCGCGTGCGGCGTGCCAGGGCGAGTCTGGTGGGGCGGCGTGCTGGGGTGCGCAGCCGGTAGCAGAGGGAAGTTCACGTAGCATCTGCGTGGCAGGCTGTGGACACGCATCTGTCGCGGCCGTGCTCTACCTTGGGGTCGTGTGCCCCAGATCCAGCGGCGTTTGCGTGGGTGCCTTTGTCGTCGTCAGGGACACCACGTGGTCGTGGCCTTCGACGCCCAGGAGACCGAGCTGGTAGGTACCGTGGCCATGGCGGAGGAGAAGGTCGGAAGATGGTGAGAGGAAGGGGATGAGTGCATGGGCCCGCATGTCATTGAGTGGAGAGAGTGCGGTTAGAGGGGTATTTTGGGCTATACGAAAATATGATGATCTGTAAGTGGGTCCAGTGTAGTTCCAGAAAATGTCATGAATCAGGTGCACAGAGAATTATAATGGCAATTCTCCAAATAGGTGAATAGTAATGGCATATTTCAGAAGCTCGAAAATTGTAATGGTATGAATCAAAATAACCCTAAAATCAACCATTTTGTCGACCGTGCTGATTTTATATACTTCATCGTTCTGCTACGAAAGCTAAATCTATAATACTTAATTATTTTTAGTGTTCCCCTAACGGATCTCAATAGCATGAACATAGGTAAGTTAGATAGAAAAGAGTTAATCAACATTAGTATTCCGCCCACCGAAAATGAATTCCCTTTCTAGCTACACAACTTTTTTCTCAATTCTTTCCTCAATAACCTTCCAATCTTTGCTATTTAGTTTTTCTCAAGGGCACTAGTACGCCAGAATAGCGGAAAGGATAAATATCAATTTTGCAACCAAATAGATGTGAACATTGTACCTAACATTCTTTTCCTTGTCCAAATCAAATGATTTCACTTTTGCGAAAGTTTATCTAAAGTCTAGATAATTTCTCAAGCGTGCAAAGTAACAACTTCATGTTCTTTGCTTGTTCTACATTATGGTCTCACCATATCATCTGCACATTGCAAGATAGACTTGTTCTACATTATGGTCTCACCATATCAACTGCACATTGCAAGATAGACAAGTCATCCACTATTAAATGTGGTTTTATGCC